GAAATGATAAATAACGCGTTTTTAATTACTACATTTATGTAGAAATGCTTGATTTACCCCAAACCCTCTGAATCCTGAGCGTCTGGCTGTTTTCACTGCAGAGTCCTGCTCCTGTGTGGAAGCAGCCCAGCCAGGCTAGAACCCGACAGAACCCGACCGAACCCGACAGAACCCGACCGAACCCGACAGAACCTGACAGAACCCGACAGAACCCTCCTCTCTGCAGTGCGACACAGTTATAACATCATAAACCATAAAACAGAATAAAAGACATTTGAATTCATTTCATTATTTGTCTCACAAAAATCTGAATCAAGTGGAATCAACATGCACACGTTCCAGCTGCTGCCAGATGTTACAGATATATCAGCATAAATACTCTACATACCTTTCCACTCACATGTTTCGCTGTTATTCATACGACTATGTGGTCCGTGTAAACAGCCTGCAGTTCTCTGAGTTTTAACCACACGACTGCTGGGTGCAGCTAACGGAGTTAAAGCTGCTCCAAAGAGATTTAGCAGCACGTCTCATTCACCCCGAACGAACCACGAGAAACTAGATTTAAATCTGCAGTATAAGAAATAAAGCATCAGAGTAATAAAGGTGATGCAGCTCTCGTCTCTTTGGCTGCTAACGAGATGCAGTAATTATAAATTCATAGAATTTACTAAGCAGTATAGAACAATATTAGGTGTGATGCAGGTTTTTAATCTTCTTCTTTTTCATTGCAGCCTTCCATCCAACACACTCTGCCGTCTCCCCCTCCTTAGATAATAAGATATTTCTGCACCCTTCATTATTTCCCACTTAAGCTGTTATTGCCTCATTGTTTGGACTGTGCGTCTCTGTGATTAAAGCTTCATAATGAAGTATCGCATTAGGAAGATGAAACTAAGTTAAAGTTAGTTGAGCTCCGGGGACATCACATCCCGGCTCACAGCCGTATCACCACAGCAGTTGTGGAACAATTTGAGCTGTTAATGTGTTTTATTACCAGGCTGTCAAAATATCACGACTCTCACTGACAGAGAATCTGACACTGTTGAATGCAATTTGAATATATGAAGTACTTTCCCACCTCTCAACCCAAAACAGGTGGATATGAGCTCCAGGTGAGGGCTGGGCTTTATGAAGACTCATGAAGGAATAACTGGATTAAAGGCGCATCAGTTCATCTCCTCTGCTTCTCATCGCTCTGTTTTTGGCTCACTTCAAATATCACTCTTTATTTATTTATATTTCCTCTCTATAACGCTCCTCCTCTCATCTGCTGAAGCGTTTCTGTTTGTGTGGAGCTTCAGTGTTTGGTTATATTGAGACGATCCATCTGCAGAGAGCCTGTCGCTGCCTCTCAGGAGTTTTAATGTGTGGTGTCACAGCGCTGCGTCGTGTTCTCAGACAGACCGGGACATGGCTGTGTGTGTGTGTGTGTGTGTGTGTGTGTGTGTGTGTGTGTGTGTGTTTCCAGCAGCAGAACAGCTGGATGCAGCCCGTTTACAGAGACTGAGTGAAAGCGTGTTTGTGAGAGACAGGACCAGGTGCAGAGGACACATAACCAGTCCTTGTTTCCTCTAACATCCATCAGAAATCTCCTAAATACCAGAGCATTAGAAAGGCTCACATTACTCTCAATTACTGTCAGACCTGGACAGACATCCTTCCAATTATCCTTTTGAATATCTGACGTGCGTCGCCAGCGAACGCACCATCCCCATAACGAACAGCGTTAAGGAGGTCGTCCCTGAACAGGTATTATGTCGCCGAGTTTTGCTTCAGACTCAGTCCTCAATGGCTTCTCTGTTCTGATGGGATGTCTGATGACTCCCTCAATGAGGTTGAACTGGTTGTTGCATGTTCCAGGAAGCTGCTCTCATTCATTACATCTGGTTCTCTCGTTCTGTCTTTCTCCCTGTCGCTTTCACATACGCACATCTGCACACGCACACACACACACACACACACACACACACCAGACCACCAGCCTCCTCATTTGGTCTTAACTCCTCTCCAGCTGTGTGCAAATTTGCCTCCTCCAGAGTGCATGGGGTTTGGGAGGGGGTGATTAGGAGCCACGGATAGGGTGTGTGTGTGTGTGTGTGTGTGTGTGTGTGTGTGTGTGTGTGTGTGTGTGTGAGAGCCAGTAATGCCTCCCTCCACACCACCCTGTAATCCCCAGCTGCTGTGTGGTGCTGACTGGGTTCCTGGAGGAGAATTCCACACCGGCCACCGGATTTACAGTGGATTCTCCAAAGATTACCGCTGGATACCGCTGCCATTCCCAACATGGAAACTCCAACAGCACTCTGGAGCTGTAATGATTATTTTCATGATTTATTAGGCTGTCAGTTGTTTTATTAAATGAATCGGTTTTATCTCCAGAGGCCCAGATGTGCCTTCATAGCGCAGAGGTGTGTGCAGGTTGATACTCGTGTACGTCTGATCATGAGAACTTATTCTACGTTTGCTCACATTTTACTTCCAATAAGCCGAGCTTTACCCGCCACCTATAAAATCTAATCCTCGCTGAGATCCAACAAATGGTCCATACTTTCCCACTTCATTAGCAGCAGATCTCTGTTTTGGAGCTCAAGATGATGGAAGCCGCCAGCTCTCAGTTAGCAGGTTGTTAGTCAGAGCCAGACCAGCCGGTACGGTGCTGAAACCTGCCACCGGTGGAAGGCCAGAGGGATGAAGTGTAGCAGCACAGTGACAACCTCTCCTGTTCCCTGTTCTCTGCTTTGTTCACGAGTTTCCTTCATCCCCATCCTCTCATCTCTGTCCAATCTGACTCTGCATGCTCAATCTGTTTCTTTCTGTTGGCATTTTTATTACAAATAATTGTCCAAAAAAAGACACTGAAGGTTCTAATGTGACAAAATGATTGAAGGCTAGAAATTAGCCTTAAAACCAAATGAATGGTAATGAAGTAATGAGTAAGGCCTTTGTTCACACTATCTGCTGATGACTTTATCTGTAAATCTCTCTCACGTCTTTTTTCCTGCTGCATGCGCCTTCGGTTGGATTCTCTTCACCACTTTACCTTTTCTTCTTGTCCTGGTTCTCTCCCTCGTGCCTTCCTCCTCTCTTTGCTTTTCCTTCCCTCTTATCTCTCTCTTCCTCCCTCCCTGCCCTCTTCACCTCCCCGTCACCTCTCCACTGCTCTTATCTCTGCCTCGGTGACGTTATCACGTCCAGGGGCCCAATGCTAAGTGACAGACTGACTGATATGGGCACACAGGTATACAGCCGCAGAGGTAGATAGCAAGCCCTGCAGATCGGCCGGCGGCAGACTGGTCGTCATATCACGTCTAAAGCGAACGGGAGAGAGACGGAGAACTCAGGCCGACAGTGGACGGACAGGGCAGCTGGCAGGCTGACGTTTGGTCGCCTCCCCGGCCCAGGAGCAGACCGAACGGCTGCAGCTATCAGGACGAGGGACATTTGAGACGTCCAGCTGATCCGCTGACCCAGAGTGACGTACAATAAGGGTAGCAGAACAAGTCAGAAACCAGGAGACAGGTGACGGGAAGCTGACAGATGAGATGGCAGAAGCAGAAACGTGTGCGTGCTCTCCCACACATGAACATGCTCTCAGCGACACGGAGCCGCGGGGCCACAAGCAGACATCCCAAACATGCCGGGCATGCAGCTAGTCCACCGCTGACCACCCAGACGGACACACGCAGGCGTCAGCCTGGAGACCACCAGCACACTGTGCACAACTCGGTTTCATGTATTCTGCCTGTCTCTGCACCCGTCTGCACATGAACATTATGTCCAGGCGCTAGCCAGCAAGTCAGCTGTGTGATGAGCTGGAGGCTGTGGAGCTCCGCCCACTCAGCGACGCATATCAGTGATAAGTGGCATCATGACACTCAGTGAGAGCAGCGTAGTGCTGCTCTGAACACATTTAACACAAGTGCATGCTTCAGGACACATGCTGTTGAAGCATATTAAGGCAGCATTTGAATAAACACAGACTGGATTCTTTTAATCACATTGAAGCTCACGTTTATGCAAACAGGCGTAAATACACCTGCACACACACCTGGACGGAATAGGACGACAGCAGACTTTAAACTGAGAGATCAGACAGAGCCTGAGGGAATGAGAAACAAATGAGAGAGACAGAGAGACGCAGAGATAAAACCTAATACCTCGTAATGTTTGCTATGTGGACGACACATGTTTGTGTACTTGCTTTCCACTGATATCTATTAACGGGACTCCACTGGATCACCACAGCTGTGCGTCTTTGCTGCGTTAACTGAGCCCCAGCCTACTTAAAACTGTCACATGTCACTTATATTCTGCTGCTCTGTGGTCTCTGGCTGAGGACGGACCGTCGGCTGGTGCTGCTCGCTCTCGTCGCTCTTTCCTCTGCAACCAACACTTTTAACTGGTTTTGATGAATTCTTCATCAGGTTCAGCAAAGGAACTGGCAACAAGTGTGGTGTTAAAATGTGCAGGTAGATTCTTGTTAAAATGCGTGAAAGCTGAACAGAGACGCCGGTGACATGGCAGCAGGGCGATGACGTCTGTGAGGGGCGTCATGCAGGCCGGTCATGTTTCATCACGCTGTCATCTGTTACTGATCATCCAGGTAGTTTAATATCCACACAACAGTGAATGATTGTCTTTCTACGATGTCCACATAGACGCAGTCCGTCATGTAGAGTCTGTACAGAACAGTGAGCCTTCAATTAGTGTAAAACTGGTTGTCCTGTTTGCAGTGGGCCATGACGTGATCCACTGCATAGAGAAAGACAAAGCTCTGTGCTCTAAACAGTCTGGGAGTCCAGCCATGGGCCCCTTTCCTCAGAGAGCTGGCTGTGGACCGTGTAGCCGGGGCTGTGGACCGTCTAGCCGGGGCTGTGTCTCCGGACCTGTGTGGCTACAGCAGCGTCCTGACACACAGCTTTAGTATTTTCTGAGTATGAAAACCTCACTCACTGTTGAATTTCTTCGTGTTTAATGTTTGCACTTCTGTTTCCCAGGCGAGGTCCACTGGATCCAGCTGAATACCCCGTGCAGCCGTGGTCAGGTCATTACCCCGGACCTCCCCCAGCCCAACAGGGATACCCCCAGTCCCCATCCTACCCCAACCCCAGCGCCCAGTCTGGCCCTTCTTACTCCAACTACCCACCTGGGCAGCCTTACCCACGGCCAGGGGACCCTCGAGGAGTCGATCCGGGCTACTACCCCCACCCCAGGTGAGTAAATACCAGGAGGTTGTACCACAGTACTTAATGCTACTGTATATGTTAACATGGACCAACACAGGAGCTCCCGGCTCAGGACGGTGAATCCATAAGACCAGCTCGCTACCAGCTCCATGATTCAACCGCTCAAAACTCATTTGTTTATCAGCGTTACATATTTAGAAGTTTGTTCCCCTTCTTACCTCCAAATAGCTCAGGTGGAACTTCAACTTCTAGAATGTGCAGATCTATGAAGTCCCTGAACCCATCTCCACCCACCCCTCCCCACTCACTGCAGCCGAGCACACCAGCTCACCCACACCTCTGCTCAGACACTGTAAACTGCTCTGTGCCTAAAGCTGGCGAGGTGGTGTTTTAAACCCACGTGGACATGGTGGTACGGTCAGAACAACCAGGACTTTACCAGAGGGGGTCTTTAGTAGAACTCACAGGCTGAGAGGAGAGCTGTAGGAACCAGAAACAAACAGAGAAGTGAAGCACATGAGGCCATGAGGCGAATCACGGGGAGGTGAGAGGGGAAGCACACAGACTAAACACAACAGAGGCAAGACGCAGGTGAAAACGAAGTCAGACGTTCACAATGGCAGGAAGCACAACAAAGCGTGACACACGAGGAGAACGGACCTCAGAACAAAGCAGGAGGAACTGAAGGGGATCGTACATATGGACACATGAGGGAGGCTCGGAGAAAGGGAAAGCACGTTTAGAAACAGCCAGGAAGTGACCTTACAAATCAAATACAGGAACAGAAACCCAAACCCCGACAACAGAGCAGCCCGACCGTTTCTGGTGGTACTAAGCAGCCCGTCACTGCTGTGACTGGATCTGTGTTACAACACCTGGCTGTCCTTCGCTCCTCCTTCTCATACTTTGATGTCTCCGTCATACTGTTTTCCCACCGTCTGACCAAACCTTGCGTCCTGCTCCAGCTCCCAGCAGAGAGGGCCTTTGCGGCAGGACGTGCCTCCGTCTCCCACCCCCCCGCTCCGGGGCCTGCGGTACGACACCATGACCCGTGGCACTGGGGGTGGAGGGTACAGGTAGGGCCCACAAGTCCAGGTAACATCTGAGTTCTTCAATCCTCCTTTACTTTACCCGTGACTCCATTTATCAGTTCAACACGACACTTGTTCTCTTCTTTACCAATAATAGAGAAATTATGCAATAATATGTTAAAAATAAAAAAAGTGCTAAAATAAAAGAAAAGTGTTTGTTGTACGTCGATATGTAAAGGGATGTTTTAAGTGTGTGTCTCTTTTTAATGCATCCCTTTGGTTCCAGAACTCCTCCGTATGTGAGCCCTGCTCTGGATAAATGTGTCTGATTGGTTGCAGGCACCAGCTGGAGCCCGGTACCGACCGCTGTGACTGTACTGGGAGGGAGGAAGACAGCAGCACCAAACCAACCCACGACTGAAGAATGCCACGACTGCAGCTGTGTGGACAAACCAGTCCAGAGACGAACAATAAGCAGAACTCTCATTACTCCAGCCCAATGGAGCCGTGAAACCTGTTCACGGTTTAATTTGAATTACCGTCATCATCCAACGCTGTCTGTGTCGTTTGAAGTCTCTGCTAATACACAGACGAGGTAAAGGAGGTTAATTATAGGGCGGCCCTCGTGATGCACAGTGTCTTGTTTTCTCAGTCATTTAAATTGCTTTGAATCTTCCCAGAGTTTAAAATTAGCAGGGTTTTCACTTTTCACTATCCTCTGATTAAGTTTTCTCCTTCAAGACTCAGTCAGAGCCACAAAGGTAATTGGATCCATTTAAATTAAGCCACTAGGGCTCACGTACGGCTCTGCACACGCTCATTGTGTTCCTGGTGGGTTCTGCTGCTGCAAAAAGTTCTGTAATTCCATTCTCACCTGGTCTGTATGGCCTTCACATGACAGTAGCACTTCCCAGTGTTCGTGTGTTTGTGTCATCGAACCAAATGTTTCTGTCCAGATAGAAGCCGTTTATGTGAGCATGTGATCGCAGCGCTACGAGTCTCCTCCTGAGTGTCGGTCCAGATGTGGACGACAACAGAAAAAGTCCAAATGATCTGAAAGTGCGTGAACAGCAGCAAATGAAACGCAGCGACTTCACCAAACTCAACCCATTGAAAGGTGAAGTTCTGATCATCTCCTCACAATGCAGCCTGCAGCATTTATGTGGAAGTTACTGAAGACAAACACCACCCGCCTGAACCTTGTCCCGAACCAAGCGCCTCCCAAAGGTCCCGGTCCATGGCCCGACGGGTCAGAGCCGCTTAAGCAGCACAAAGAGGACCTACACAAGCAGAGGGTTTAAATGTTGTGGCTGACGGGTGAACGTCTCCGTTAGCGGGGGACGCTGGAAGAAGAGTCATCAACGGTTTGTCTGCCCAGGTTGATGGCACTGTAACGGGCCCACACGTAGAACAGAACAGAATAGAATAGAATAGAATAGAGTAGAACAGAATAGAATAGAATAGAGTAGAATAGAATAGAGTAGAATGCTTTTTATTGTCATCATACACAAGGTACAACGAAATTAAAAGAAATCAAAACACTTAAGAGTGAAGCGTTAGGGTTAGTCTTAGGTTAGGTTTAGGTTAGGGTTAGTCTTAGGTTAGAGTTAGGTTAGGGTTAGGGTTGGGTTAGGGTTAGTCTTAGGTTTGGGTTCGGGTTAGGCCCACTCTGAGGTCTCAGAATGCCAACAGGGAGAACGCCACTACATCCATCTTTATGGATCTACAGCTTTAGTCCTAAAGACTCGTCTGGAGTCGTTTAATTGTCAGAGCAGAGCACTGTACCAGTTATTATCTGAATATCGACATGCTTTTATTCACTCTGTGATCACCTTCAGTTTGATCCAAAATACTTGTCTCAGTAGAGATAAACTTCATTACAAGGACTCGGCCTAGGACTAGGACTGGAACTAGGACTAGGACTGGAACTAGGACTAGATGTGATCCATCACCTGTGGACGCTCCTGTTCCTGCGTCTAGAACTCCAGTAGAGTAATGTCTCAGAGCAGGTGTTGACATCGTTTGTGTTCATGTCAGGGCTCGTTAGCAGCTCTGGACGCTGAGGATTGTGTTGCCAGATGACCTCTGCTTGAATGTGTTGTAGACCAGCGTGGGTCACATGCTGTCAGTCGTCTGTACCTGAGCCAGGCTGGAAACCTGTTTGTTGAACAGGTTCTGGGCGGTTGGAGTTTCTACCCATTTCCTGGTTTGCTATCAGACAAAGATCACTGCTATAAATACAACCAACCAGCTTGTGGAAGAAGAACAAGACCGACAGTTTGTAGTGACGCTGCTACCTGTGGGAGCTCCAGCAGCAGCTTGGAATGCTGCCTTCACCTCTACTGGGAGCAGCTCCCATCATGGCGGTTCATTTAGTGCTGATGAAGCCACTACTCGTCGTGGTCAATGTCCACACTGACCGTCACTGTGGCTGTTTGAGCCTCAGAGACAGAAGGATGTTCTGGTTCTGGGCGGGTGTTGAACGGAGCAGGGACACGGGGCGTTTTACTCTGTGTTACTGATGCCAGGTGCTGCTGTTTGGATGTGAAGGACTGTGTGACCCGATGGTGGAGGCATCACCGTGGTGCTGCTCAAACATGAAGTGAGCTGCAGAGTGCTGTCAGTGCGGCACCACGGTGGAGATCCATTTATCCACTTACCAAACCATCCACTCAGTGTGACTACGAGTGAGAGTGTAGCCCAACATTTCTGTGTTTCACTCCCCAGAGCTCAGCAGTATTCATTTCAAAAGGCATTAAATGTTTGAAATGACATTTCACAACTCGGTGGACGGCGTTCCTGTTCAGGGAAGGTGGACAGTGATGTGAGTGAAAGACACGCAGAAGAATGTAAAATAGAGTTTGTCTGGAATGATTTTAGTTTGTTTTCTTGGACCAAACTGGATTTTTT